AGACGCAGACAGAGAACGACACAAACTGTCAGACGGACCAAAACATATCCCGACGCCACGGCAACGCCACGGCAACGTCACGGCAACGCCATCATAGTGACGTCACCTCGTCTGTCTAACAGGACTCCTACACATCTCCATTTTAAACTCCTGGGGACGGTAACGGGGCCCAGCGGGCTGCAACCAGTGACTCTTTACTGATTATCTGTCAGGTACATTTATATAATAATAATAATAATAATAATAATAATAATAATAATAATCCAACAAATAATGACAAATGTCCGTTTCAAGTTCCCAGACGTCTCCGGTGTTTGTTTTGTCTGATCAACCCAAAGAGAATTTACAAGAATATAAAATAAGAAAAGCAGAAAATTCATTTTAAAATGGGAAATGAAGACATTTAAACCCAATGAGCTCAGTAAAGAGTGGGATCAAATAATGGAATATCATTAATATTGAATTCTTATATTGTTATTTGTACAAACACACACTTACCTTCTTTCTTGACTTTGTCATTGATATTGTTGATGTAGATCGTGTGGTTTGGTCGGATATCCATGGTGGCGTCTGAGGAAAACAAACAGAGCAGGTTAACGTCTTCATCAGGTTCAACTAACCCTCATTAATAATCATTAATAATCATTAATAAACATTAATAATCATTAATAAACATTAATCATTAATAATCATTAATAAACATTAATAAACATTAATCATTAATAATCATTAATAAACATTAATAATCATTAATAATCATTAATAAACATTAATAAACATTAATCATTAATAATCATTAATAAACATTAATAATCAATAATCATTAATGAGACAGGATACAAAGTCTGACCACAGTAAATAACAGAAGCTGCTCGTTAATGTGAGGTACTTTACATTTTTATACAACTTTATACTTTAATGCTATTCTGAATGTTAGTGAAGAATTGTTCCTTTATTTATATTTATTAAATATAGATTAATATAAATCATCTGGATGGATTAGATGGCAGAAGCATCGTCACAGAGCTCAATCAATCATCAATGCAGTTATATAATTGATAATGATCAATGATCAATAAGATCAATAAGATCAATGCAGTTATACAATATGATCAATGATCAATAAGATCAATAAGATCAATGCAGTTATACAATATGCTAACATTAGCATGCGTTAGCTTGCCGTCGGCTACATTCATTCATAGCGTTAGCTTAGCAGCAGCTAGCGGCGCAGCTACCTGTTTCCGGTGTCCGTAAAGTAACAGTGGATGTAAAATGAACGCAGTTATTACCTGTTACAGTCGGTGGGCCTACGGACGGTCGGTGGTCCTACAGACGGTCAGTGTAAACGGTTAGATATCGAACTCACCGCTCACACCGCTCACATACGACCGGAAGCACCGTGTGAGGGCGCCGGGAACGCCGCCGCCGCTTTAACCGGCTGTGTGCTCTACCGCCGCCCGCAGGACAGGAGGGGAACTGCAACTGCATGTTTACTGCACACACACACACACACACACACACACACACACACACACACACACACACACACACACAGTGAGTTGTTCTCAATGCACAGACACAGAATAGACATAAACTATAAATATATATTTATATATAAACAAACAGCATACAATAGTGCAATGGGGCTGAAATAAACATTTACATGCAGGTATTTTATGTACCGGAGCTCGGTGGATAGGACAGTACAAACAATATGCTCAGCATGTGTTTGATAGTATTTACATTTAAAAAAAACAAACTGAATTTCAACAATGATAAAGATAAATAGTAAATAGTTTACAGGTTCAGGGATTGTTGTTGTTGTTGTTGTTGTTGTTGTCCTGACACTGTGTGTTGGTCAGAGTCTGTGAGTAACAACAGTTTGGTGTACAGTGGCTGTGTAGCGCCTACTAGAGGCACTACACAGCCACTCTGTGGTTAAAAGATTGTTACTGTCCATCATGTTTTGTGAATTGTGTTTAATGCTGTACCTACAGATGGATTATGAAGTCATTAAAAAGTGGCAGATATGTAATTAATAGGTTTTAATTATTAAAAATAGTAATGAGCAGCCACAGCCTGCTGTACCACCAGACTTAAACACAGCTTCTTTCCTCAACCATTCATCGGACAAATGAATTATTTTTTAGTTTTATGACTCATGAATCACTTTTTGTTTTTAGAAGCAGAATAAAGGAAACTATATCTAAAGTCCATTCTACAACATTATGTTGTAAATGACAAGAAATAACCTTGAGTCCTTGATTAATGGCAGTAGCACTGTTGGTCTCTTAACCTGCAGTAGAAAAAGTATTCAGATAAGTAAGTAAAAATACTCAATTTCAAGTACAATTTTACTCTAACTGAGTTACTAATAATTAGCTAATAAATCTAATTGGTCACTTTCAGACGTGGCATCATTATTATTATATTAAACTATTATTACTGATAGTTTAACATGTAAATAGTATTTTAATTTAATTGATTTATATCAGGATGTTTTAGATTGATTGAACTTTGTCGACACAGACATGAAACTAAACTTTTGTTGTATTTTATTTTGAGATCTACTTAAAAAAAACATTTATTTCAGATTTATTTACGTCCCAATCGCTCTGTATTTACTACAGTCTGTAGACTCTTTCTATGGAAGCACATTTCTGCCACAGTAATAAATAATTACTTGTTAAAATAATTATAAATTCACCAGCCAGTGATAACATCAGTCTGCGGCAGTGACCGTCTCCCCCGTCACTGTCTGTCTGTTATCTGTCTGTTATCTGTCTGTTATCTGTCTGTTAGTGTGTGCTCCTCTGTGCAGTCAGTCGGTTTGTCTGTGAGACTTTTGTCCTCTTTATCCTGCAGTCGCCCGCTGTGTCTCACACTAGCTCGTTAGCAGCATCACTCACTTTGAGGATAATTAAATATTGAACAATTTATTAATTACTTCAGATCGGTTTAACCTCACAAAGGTCACATTAGAGCAGCTGGAAGAATTCATTTCAGTCAATCAAAAAACAATTAATAATCCTATTGTTACAACTACAGACTGTGAGTCATTATAAACATTCTCTAAATAATGATTATTAATCACTTAATATATCAAAATATGACTTAATATATCAAAATAATGATTAATAATGACTTAATATCTCAAAATATGACTTAATATATCAAAATAATGAGAAATAATGACCTAATATATCAAAATAATGATTAATAATGACTTAATATCTCAAAATATGACTTAATATATCAAAATAATGAGAAATAATGACCTAATATCTCAAAATATGACTTAATATATCAAAATAATGAGAAATAATGACCTAATATATCAAAATAATGAGAAATAATGACCTAATATCTCAAAATATGACTTAATATATCAAAATAATGATTAATAAATGAAGCTTAATGATGAATAATGACCTAAGATATCAAAATAATGAGAAACATTCTCAAAATAATGATGAATAATGACCTTATATCTCACAATATGACTTAATAAATGAAAAATAATGATAAATAATGAGTTAATAAATTAAAATAATGAGTTAATAAATTAAAATAATGAGTTAATATCTTAGAATAATGAGACACTTTCTGATAATACCAGTACCTACAGAGTGACTATGGTCAGTGTCGTATGACCCCGCGCTGTATTTGGTCCGTCCAGGCTTCCGTACGTCTGTAATGTTTTCATCAGCTGACGCTCTGAAGCTAACAGCTAACAGCTAACAGCTCCGTTAACGGGACCGTGGATGTGAGCCGGTTCACACCGGACAGCGACAACATCAGCCCCCCCACCCTGTCGCTATCTGTCGGTGGCTGTGTGCTCCTCGGTCGGTCGGTCGGTCGGTCGGTCGGTCGGTTATCTTTCAGACTTTAAACTCTTTATCTCGCGGTTGTCTCATGCTAGCTCGTTAGCCTGTTAGCTCGCGGCTATAAAGCGGCGTCGCGCGCTCTGAGGCTAACGGACCGGACCGCAGCGGGATGAGCGATGGCATCGGTTCGGGTGGCTGTACGGGTCCGACCCATGGACAGGCGGTGAGTGGAGGACATTAATAACGGGGCTGTTTGACGGTGAACCGGTTTATAGTCGGTGTGTGTGTGCAGCCGCTAACAGTCACATGAATGGACTCTGATTCAGTAATAATAATAATAATAATATAATAATGTTCTTTAAAGTCAGGGCTCACTGGTTCTGGTTCTGGTTCCGGAGTTTCACTTCTGTCCGGTGGTTTGTGGGTTTTACCAACAGCAGCTCTTCATACACTGATTTATACCGAGGCTGACATCTCCTACTCACCTGTGTGTCCCTGAACGCAGCATCATTTATTTATCACTTTATTTATCACTTTATAAATCACTTTATAAATCACTTTATATAAACTTTATCCTTTATATATCACTTTATATAAACTTTATATATCACTTTATCCGTTATATACACTTTATCTTTTATATATGACTTTATATGATTTATATCTTTATCCTGTAGGATTTATATGTGACTTTATGTGTGTGGATCACAATATAATATATAACAGTATATGTACCTTTATAATTCAATATGTAGAAGATATAAATAAGACAGGAATATATATATATATATATAGTATAATACAGTATATGCGAACATGTTATACATACATTGATAATATATTAATATACTCTATAGGATTATAGTTTTTTTTGTCTTAATCAAAAAAATACATTTTAATTTAATTTACGTATCTTTAATTTCCAAACATAACATTTATAAATAAATCTGTTATCAGCAGCGATATTAACTAATAACTAATTTACCTGATATTAAACAGGCTCGGTGCATCTGTCTGTGTAATTATCATATTAGTGAATAAAGAACACATTAATTATGTTAAACTGATGTAAAATCATGTTAATTCTGCAGCTGCAGACATTAAACAGCAGATTATTTCAGATCTTTTGTTTTACAGCAAACAAACTGAACCAACAACCTGCTGATGATTCACATTCAGTCTTTTTACTGACGTCTGTCAAACTCAAGTTAAACTGCAGAGACTTTAAAACTGTTTCATTTAAATTTTAAGTTCTAGTTTGAAGAATCGACATTTTAAGACTGAATGAAACATTTATAAGACGACACATTAACCTAAAACTTTCTATGGGTGTAAAAAATATTGAGAAATATCGTATTGTGTGTTTATTTAAGATATTGTATTAATTTTCAAACACTATTAATTAGTGTGGTTAAACCCTAAAAACGCTGTATAGCAGTGTTATAAACAGAATCAGATTTATTGTATCTGATGTTTTCTTTATATTATGACTCTTTGCAGATACACAGCTTCCAGTTCAGAGTTGTTTTATTTTAATATTTGATGTGTTTTGTGAGACTGAGAACTCGATATGGAGATCAGAGGAGCTGCAGTGTTTAGTGATGAAGGTAAAATATGTGACCGACATTTTAATGAAGCTCTGCAGAGACGCTCTGATCCACAGTTCTTCTTCTCAGGATGTTTGTTTGGTACAAAACCCTATAAAGAAGTTCACGTCATCATTTTATTAGTGTTTTAAGTGAAATACACACAAATAAATCACAAAATAATAACAGACACTCATCAAACTTTTTAAAAGTTATTTTTCTCTTTAATGTTGTTAGCACAAAGAATGAGCAACAGAGAAAAACACTAAGAAAAAATCTTTATTTTTACTTAATGGCAACAAATGACTTTAAGGATTAAACAGCTATTGAAGTTAATTATTTTCTGACATTTGTCTCATAAATTAATCAACTAATTACATATAATAATTAATTAATTCTGTTGCTGATCAGTGTTTGTCATTTATCTTTTCTTAAAGTGTTTAAAAACTAAACTAGAGCAGAAATTAGAAGTTATTTGATCAAGTTTAATGAGTAGTTATTATTATTATTATTAATAATATAATTTATTATAATTGATTAATATTATTTTGTATTAATATTTTTATTATTTTATTATTGATAATATTTATTATTATTAAGATTTTTTTTACTATTAATATAATTTTATTATTATTAATATTATTTTTATTAAGATTATTTTTTATTATTATAATAATCTCTGGTTTCAGCTTCTTAAATGTGAATATTTGCTCGGTATGGAAGTGAATGCAACCTTTGGACTGTTCAGCTTCGACCTTCAGAAACTCCGTGAGAGACTTTATTAAACCATAAATGAGTTAATTCAGACAGTTATTAGTTAACTGAGAATAAAAATGAACATCAGATGAACTTGAACACATTTTCTGAGCTCTCTGTGTCGGAGTTGACCTCCGTTACGTGACGGGCTCGTAATGAGAGCGCACGGCGTTACGTAATGTGTTGTTCAGTGTTTGTGACACGGCTCACCTGTTAACCGCCGCAGCCGTCTGACTGTTGTTCCTGAAACATAAAGGATGTGGTTGAGCCTGAGAACGAGCCGGGTGGAGACAGACGATCACACACGACTGAGCAAACACACATCGCTGATACAATTCCAGCTCAGTCATGTGGGTTTTATTGATGTCTGCAGCTCAGTTAAACAAAGTTAAACAGTTCAAACAGGATCTTCTGCTTCTTCTGGCCCTCAGGAAGGTTTTAACACATAAAAACATTCATATATGTACATTTTAAATAGCTTTGCCCCCAAAAAGATGAATAATTAAATGATTAAAACTCTGAATGACAGCGGAGGATGTTGTTGTTACCTTTGATTTACACTTAAAATAAAATAATATAGATTTTATTGATCCCACATCGCTACAGCAGCTCCAGATACAACATAATGTACATAATATGTGCACTATATACTGTGTTTTATATACAGATGTGATTGATCCTTGCTCCCAACCTTCTTCCTTAAGGGACCTCTCACTAAATTACAGTAGAGAACAGCTGATAAACTGGAAACTGTATTTTTAGGTAATTAATTGGCTTCTTTTCTTCCTCCTGATGCTCGTTCAGCTCTTTGGTTGTTATAACTTTATTTTTTAAGTTTTCTTAAACGCCTTAAAATCAAGCAGGCCTAGTGACCCCCCCTGTGAAGCTTTGGCGACCCCTAGTGGGGGTCCCGACACCCGGGTTGGGAACCACTGGTCTACAGAGCAGTCCAGGACAGAACTGGCCCTCTTTTCCAATCCAGAAAAGTGTCACTGACCTCCGATCATAATTAAACCACAATGGGGGAACTGGACTAGATATTATGGTTGGATCCAGGCGATCTGTCTCGCTCTCTGTGACCTGTCTCTCTCTCTGTGTGACCTGTCTACCTGTCGCGGTCCCGTCTGTCTAATGAAGCCAAAACAAGATCACTTTTACTCTGGTATCAGCCCACGCTCTGTCCACCGTCTCCAGCCGACACCGACCGCTGCTGCTGCAGTCGATACCGTTACTGAGAGCCCTGAACACATCACCCCTTCCTACAATGGCTCCCTGTTACATTTCTAATTAATATTATTATTATTATTATTATTATTATTAATTATTATTTACTTTTAAAGCTTTAAACAGAATTACAGCTCTGAGATCGGCGGATTATTCCCAGGCCTCCACACTGTGGAGACCTCTTCTAAATCTCTTTTCTTTTTGCACAAGCTTTTGGAAATATTTGTTTTTATTCCTTTTATATATTTGTTCTTAATCCTTCTATTGTTGAGCTCATATTCCTTATTTTCATTTTATCCGTTTGTTTGGTTTTTCTTTGTCTTTTGTTCAGCACTTTGTAACATTGTTAAGAAAAGTACAATATAAATAAAGTTTATTACTGTTAGTTTTATTAATCAGAAAGGTTAAAAAGGTGATTTTAAACTGGTGTTAGTTAAGATTAAATTAAGAATTAAGACACTGAAGCTCTGAAATTACTAAATTATTAATGAAATGAAGCTGGCAAAGGCTTTGAAGGCCGACTTAATGAATCTGTCCTGTGTTCATGTGGTAAAATACAGAATAAAAACATTATTGATCTTTTACAGGGAAAAGGACTTGTCTGCAAAATGCATCATCGAGATGGAAGGAACCAAAACCTCCATCACCAACCTGAAGGTACCTTTTTTTTTTCCCCCCAAAAGTAGAAAACATTGTTCACAGAAGCTGCAAATTCAGTCTGAAAAGGATCCAAACACCTCGTAGATGAAGCTGTGTCTGTTTGTGTTCTAAGATCCCCGATAGCATCGCAGGCGAATCGATGAGGGATCGAACCAAAACCTTTACGTACGACTTCTCCTACGACTCCATGGACTGTAAGAGCTCCTCGTTCGTCTCCCAGGAAAAGGTAAATAACTCTTTAAAGAGCAGAGGAGGTTATAATCGTTGTAAGAGCGACGTGAATCAAACGTAACTGACCCTCCCTAAGTCCCGCCCCTTTTTGGTCTGACCTCCAATGACAGTTGAGCGTTGTCTGCGTATAAAAGACGACCACATTGTGAAGATGGTTAAAAGATAAAAGAGACTCCTACAGTCACACCTTCAGTTGGCTAATGTTAGAAAAACATTAGCTAACTAACAGGTGGTGTATATTAGCTCGCTAGTTAGCTGGAATCTTTGCTAGCATTAGCTTTCAGATGTAACTAGTCACAACTGATGTAGGTAGCTAGTAAGCTAGCGTTTTCATAACATTAGTTAATTTAAGATGTGTTGTTTTTATCTTTTAACCATCTTCAAAATGCGGCAGTCCTTTCAGCAAAGGTTAGCCTAGCATATAGCATGTGTAAGTTCAGGAAACGAGCCGTATTAATCGGATTAACGAGAACCCGTGAGAAAAAAACAACCTGAAAAAACAGAAAACAGGTTTTTCTGTTTGGTTTTTTGTAAAAGGAATAAGGTTGGTTACCACTTATTGTTCCCCTTTTTATAAACGGTAGTCAGGTAATTGGTTTCTGTCATTTGGCCGCGCAGTACACCGACCTGAAAGGAATATACTGTTTACATAACCCATTCAAATGTGGACTATTGTGATACTGAGAACAATAGTGGACAGTCAGTGTGAATGTAAACGCAGTCACTGACACTCTGCGCTGTGTTAAAAACTGTATCACTGCTGACCTGCAGATCGACCTTTCTTATTCTGACCACAACAATATGTAGCATGTCTTAGATACAACACATAATGGCTGTAATAAAGCTGTAATAAAGCTGTAATAAAGCTGTAATAAAGCTGCAGTCTGGCTCCCAAAGGATTATTCTGATTAATCATTTTCCAAACCTGCTCAGCAAATCTGTTGTTGTTTTGTTTGGATGATTAATGTTAACAAAGGTTTGGATTTGGGGGATCCAGAGTGTGGAGGATTTATTACTCTCGGTCAAAGCAGTGTGTGTGTGTGTGTGTGTGTGTGTGTGTGTGTGTGTGTGTTTGTTTACACACTACTGGAGCTGTATCACGTTACAGCTCTGCAACATCAATACTGACTCTGAGTCATGTGAGCCTCAGATCTGGACTGAAATGTTTTTGCGTCAGCAGAGACGTTAATAAAAGCTTTAATGTTCTCCTGTTCTTTGGCAGGTTTTCAAGGATCTGGGCTCGGACGTGCTGAAGGCGGCGTTCGAGGGCTACAACGCCTGCGTCTTTGCCTACGGTCAGACCGGCTCGGGGAAGTCCTACACCATGATGGGAAATCCAGTGAGACAAAACTCCACATTAACATCAAGTTCCAGACTCTCTTATCCAGAAAGACTTCAGAACGAGTGATAAGAGTCCAAATAATCGACCTGTCTGACCTTGTCTCTTTTTAATTGATTAGTTTGGGCAGTAGGGCCTCAACTAATGATTACTTTCATTATCACTCCTCCTTTGTTTATTCTTTTCAATTGATAAAGGTTTTTAGGGTCCGAGCAGCGCCAAGATGCTCGCAAACTCATAAAAAATTCAACGTTAGGAGAAATCTCTGTATGATTCAAACACCACGCCCCCTAAAATCTGCCCCCGGGACACGTACGACCGACATGTATGAAAATTGGTTCGCAGGTGTATCATGATCACACAGGCAAGAAAGCCTCTTGGACCCAAACCCCAAACCCGACTCGAACTCCTCCTGGGGAATTGATTAGGTCAACTTCAAATTTCAGCAGCAATCACGATTAAAAGTTGTCAAAATCTTCGGTTTTCGTTGAAGCGCGTCTCCGTGGCGTGGCGCCGAATTCTAATTTATGTTTCACCATGAAACAGGAAGTTGTCATTACTTCAGCAGTGTAGCATATCGATATGAACTTCACTAGAGCGTCTCAGAGTTCTGACAGACGTGTTATCAGATTCATTTAATTCTCAGGGACACTGATGAATTTTAAACTACAGTCGATATTATATAAATTATTACAGATGTTTGCTCTACCCACCACCACCTGCTGGAAAACCTGGTCTCAGAGTTCGGAGAAACCTGAACATGCAATGAGAAAGAAAATATCACATTTCACTTGACTGATGTTTTTAACAGGATCTTAATAAAGTCTTTTGTTGTTGTTGTTGTTTTAGGGAGATGCCGGTCTGATCCCGAGGATCTGTGAAGGTTTGTTCAGCCGAATCTCTGCGGCGACTCGATGGGATGAAGCTTCATTTCGTACAGAAGTCAGGTGAGACCAGATTCTAAAATGTTAGAAGTTGGTAGTTTCTTATTCTGACCACCACACCTCCAGGGTTTCCACTCAGGATTCGTGTTCACGTTATCTGGCTCCCCTGAGCACGAAGTATCCATGTTTAATCTGGTTTATGCCTCCAGCTACCTGGAGATCTACAACGAGAGGGTGAGGGACCTGCTGAGGAGGAAATCCACTCAGACCTACAACCTGAGAGTCAGGGAGCACCCGAAAGACGGGCCGTACGTAGAAGGTGAGACTGCGAACAGAGCCCCAGAACCAAAGTACTGCTGGAGAGTTTTCTTTATTAAATTTGAATTCATGCTGCTTTTATTTGGCCTGCATGAGTTTGGTTTGGGTGTTGTTTTGTACAACGCTCAAGTTTTCAGTGTATTACGGTGATGATCTGACCTGATAATCAGTAGTTCCTATCAGAATCTTTATCGAGTAGTTTAGTTCATGTGTCGACTTCCTGTAACCTGCCTCCCCCGCCCCGTCCCGCTCTGATCCCAGATCTGTCCAAACACCTGGTGCAGAACTACAGCGACGTGGAGGAGCTGATGGAGGCTGGAAACATCAACCGCACCACCGCCAGCACCGGCATGAACGACGTCAGCAGCCGCTCGCACGCCATCTTCACCATCAACTTCACACAGGTCAGAAACTGCTCACTCACCTCGACAACACCTGGAATTATTCACTGAATTACATTTTTGGTAAAGTTTGCTGTGTTGAGACGCCTCCTTCTGTCTGTCTCTGTCAGGCTAAGTTTGATGCAGAGATGCCCAGTGAGACGGTCAGTAAGATCCACCTGGTCGATCTGGCTGGCAGCGAGCGAGCCGACGCCACCGGAGCGACGGGTGTCCGACTGAAAGAAGGAGGAAACATCAACAAGTCGCTGGTCACCCTGGGCAACGTCATCTCCTCTCTGGGTCAGAAACTGCAGATATAAATCTGAATTGCTCCGTGTTTGAGTGTCGATGACTGACGGATCTGTTTTCTGTTTCTTGTGCAGCTGACATATCACAGGACGGTGTGAACACCAACCTGAAGAAGAAGTCGGTGTTTGTTCCCTACAGAGACTCGGTGCTGACGTGGCTGCTGAAAGACAGCCTGGGCGGCAACTCCAAGACCATCATGATCGCCAGTGAGAAGCAAACATTAGGGTTGCATACAGATATTTAAAATAACCAAAAAACAGTCGTATCTGATGTGATTCTGTTTTTAAAATGTCTGTTTTCTCTCGTCGCAGCCGTTTCCCCCGCTGACGTGAACTACGGCGAGACGCTCAGCACTCTGCGGTACGCTAACCGAGCCAAGAACATCATCAACAAACCCACCATCAACGAGGACTGCAACGTCCGGCTCATCAGAGAACTGCGGGCTGAAATCGCCCGACTAAAGGCTCTGCTGGTTCAGGGCAACCAGGTAAACAAACGCACACAGAACGAGAGTGAAGCTACAAACACGGGTGGAGTTACAGAGTCCTGAGCCTCAAAGGGGAGAAAGTAAACCAGAAAAAGAAAGAAAATGGACATCTTTAGCTCAGCTTTAGATGATTTAATTTGTTTGATCTGTTTATGAGGTTTTGTATTGTGTATGATGCTACTATTCTGAACAATAGTGGTTATTATGATGATAATAAAGTGACCGTGTTCTGTTTCTGACTCGTGTGTTTGTGTTTGTGTGTCAGATTGCTCTCCTGGATTCGCCCACTGCTCTCAGTATGGAGGAGAAACTGCACCAGAATGAAGCCAGAGTGAGTTGAATGTTGTTTTCACAGGCTGAAAGCACAATGAGAGCAGATTCAAAACATTTATTTGATGTTCATGTGAGCGGGGTTTTCGGTGTTAATGCTGTGATTAATTGACTGAACCAAGGAATCTGTACAGCGGTCCCAGACATACTGGAGAGACACCATTGCTTTCTTTTGATTTGTACCGATTTGTGTTTGCAGGTTCTGGAGCTGACGAAAGAGTGGACCAACAAATGGAACGAGACACAGAATATTCTCAAGGTACGAGAATTTGTTTGTCATCTGTGTTTTTTATTCTCTCTGTGTGTGGACTGCACCATGACTGTCATGCTCCATTTTTATTATTTTATTATTATTATATTATTATGTGTCTGCAGGAGGAGACTCTGGCTCTGAGAAAAGAGGGGATCGGTGTGGTGTTGGACTCTGAGCTGCCTCATCTCATCGGCATTGACGACGACCTCCTGAGTACCGGCATCATCCTGTACCATTTAAAGGTCAGACATCAGCCCCCAGTGAACTGTCCTATAATGTCTATAATATGATCCAGTTTCACCCAAATCACTGTTTTTGTACAGTAATCAATGAGGTGAGACTGGAAATAAGAAAGTACATCTAGTTATAATCTAATAATCACAGATTGACCTGAGCGGTGAGTCTGTCTGTGTGTCTGTGTGTTACTTCCTGTTTGCAACTGTTTGTTTTTCTCCTTCCCCCTCAGGAGGGACGGACGTACGTGGGCAGAGATGACGCGTCCACAGAGCAGGACATCAGTGAGTCTGTTTACGATCAATAACCAGCAGGAAATGAAAAACCGCCCGTTTTTATTTCACTGGAAATATAGAAGAACTTCAGAGAATAATACACACAAAAATACTTTAAATTTCTACAGTCATACAGCACAGATGGCGTTATATAACATCATTTAAGGGATAACAGCCAACGAGGTGTCCATTATCAGACATTAATGGATGATGGGGAAGCCTGAACCGCAGCGTAAAATGTGGACATGATACAGATTATAACTCTAAACATCCACTTTAAATGCGTCTTTCCTAGAACGTGTTTTATCTTAATGTAACTGTACTGAAGCTGTTTCTCCTCCTGCAGTCCTGCACGGTTTGGACCTGGAGAGTGAACACTGTATGTTTGAGAACCAGAACGGCAAAGTGACCCTGGTGCCCCTCGGCGGAGCTCAGTGTTCAGTTAACGGAGTTCAAGTGTCGGAGCCGTCGCAGCTCAACCAAGGTGAGACGCCGGAAACCTCATCAGTTGTCTTCCTGTCGCTTCTTTTAAGCTGCACCCACTGTGAGAATATGTTTAATACATAAAAACTGAATCCCGTTTGCTGTCTCGTGGTCCAGGTGCCGTGATTCTGCTCGGCAGGACCAACATGTTTCGGTTCAACCACCCGAAGGAGGCGGCGAAGCTGAGGGAGAAACGAAAGGTGAGACTTTGCTCTGAGCTTTAGCTGAAGGTTTGCACTGAGGCTGATGAGGAGGAGGAGGAGGAGGAGGAGGAGGATGATGATGATGATGATGATGATGCTCACTTGTTTCCCCCCTCAGAGCGGCCTGCTCTCTACGTTCAGCCTCTCTATGACAGATCTGTCCAAGTCCTGTGAAAACCTGTCCACTGTGATGCTCTACAACCCCGGGTGAGTGTGTGATAACAGCGGCTGCATGTGATTATCAGCTCAGACCCTGCAGTGCATCCCCCCCCCGCATCAAAGCCCCCTCACAGCTTCAGCTTCAGGTTATCTGCATTTACACTGACTCAGTACTGTCGGTGAGGTGTGGCTCTTCAGCTTCAGTAAAATGGATGAAGTTCACAGATTATAAAGAAACAGATGAATTCTGTCAGAAAACGAGACGAGAAACAAATATTATAAACCGACTGAATGTCTGAAAGTAACCTGGAAATAAACATTTAGGTTGGAAACCATCATAATGATAATTCAAGAAGCGACTGACACTGACTGCTGACACACTAACAGTTGTACATTTTGCCTTAAAGGTGAAGAAAGGAAGTTAATATATTACTCAAGAAGATTAATTACAACCACTAATCCACTATACTAATATATGAATATATGAATGCACATTATTATTTATTAATACATTTAATATGAATTTGTTTCTTACATTGTAGAGACTTTTGTTGGTTTTTGGGGTTTTAGGATTCTAGTTTGCTCATTAAAATGGTGAAACATATGGTGAAGGGCTGCACAGTCATTTTTTTTTACAAGAAGTCTGAAAACCGCCATAATCTACAACAAAACTGTTAATATCAAAATCCACTGATTGAACAGAAACAAAGAAAAAAAAAAAAAAAAATTGGGGAAAAGTTTTTTTATGTTTAGTTGAGCTGAGATTTAAACAATGTTTGAACCTTTAACAATAAATTTGTTTTTAGGGGCTAGTATAAATGGATTTAGTCATTGGAAATGTAAAAATGAACAGATGAAGCAGCAGGATTATTCAACCCTGGCTACACAGAATAAATCTGCACGGTTACTGATGTGTCGCTACTCCTGTGAAAACAAGGTCTAGGTTTTGGGAAATATCCTGATTTTAATGATATTTACTGAACACAGTCCTATCCTCAGAGGATGAACCACTTCCTCCCTTTAGGACACACTGTGAGCTCTGACTGTTGGATACTTTTTGTTTCCTCCTGATTATTGTCTCCCTCCCCGACCTTTTACTGCCACCATCAGGCTCAATCTTTCCTCTCGCTGGAGAGAAATTGAGCTTCTTGTTCTCAGTGTAATCTGCAGCTAAATGAGTTGAATGATTTTTACACACACACACACACACACGTAAAGAGAGATTTCTTTTCTCCGTTCACTCTCTGTAAGCAGCAGCGGTGTGTTTTGTTAATTATTAATCACATAGCTTCCTGTCCTCTGTCCACTGGAGTTAACTCTGTCAACCCTGTCTTGTTGGCAGTCTCTTCACTGAGAAGGGCCCCGTCTTCCTCAGGTAGACTCAGCCGTCCACTTCCTGTCTAACTGTCCCGTTTTTGACACGCAAACCTGTGTTGACTCGTCCAGTCTCTCAGCCTGAACCCTCATTGTCTGTTTTGTTGTTATTATTATTTTGCACGTCACCTTGCTGCTTCTGTCTCCATTTTGACGTCTGCCAGTAGAGAACACATCGTAGCTTTCTTCCTCACCGCCTGGCGTTTTCATTTGAAGCCTCATTTTGTGTGTAGACTGCTGCTTTCACTTCATTAGTTGAGGTGGTGTGTGTGTGTGTGTGTGTGTGTGTGTGTTTTTAATGAGAGTAAAATAAGCTGATGAAGGTTTTTGTGTTGGCAGGTTGGAGTTTGAGAGACAGCAGCGAGAGGAGCTGGAGAAACTGGAGCTGAAAAGGTACAAGAGTCTGTATGTTCTCCAAATGTACTGAGAGACATGAACACAACTCGTACATACGATAAGAGTTCAGTTGGATAAAATCTTATTAATTTAATCAGGTTTAACTTTCTTTAAAACTAAAACTATTTAGAGTCACTGTTTCAGCATCAACATACAACACTGAGTATGTTCTTGCTGTAGGAGGCTGATCAAAGAGATGGAGGTGAAGCACCAGAGTGAGAAGGCAGAGCTGGAGCGCCTGCAGCAGGAGGTGGAGAGTCAGCGTAAGGAGTCGGAGGAGGTACAGCAGCGGATCCTCCGTCAGGAGGAAAGCCTCCGCCGCCGCAGCCAGGACATCGAGAGCCGCCTGCGAGACTTCCTGGCCGAGAAGGAGCGATTTGAGGAGGAGAGACGCTCAGAGATCCAGGGGCCGGACCTCCAGCAGCAGAACCAGCAGGACGAGGGTCGAGCAGAGCAGGAGGAGCAGCGCCGGCAGCAGGAGGCTGCAGAACAGACTGAGATCTACCGTGAGCTGGAGAGGCTGAAGAGGGAGCGCGAAGAGCAGAAGGTTCGTCTGGAGACTGAGCGGCGGCGGCTGGAGGAGCAGGAGCGGGAGCAGCTGAGCCTGGTGGGGAGGCTGGAGGAACAGCTGAGAGAGAAACACGAGGCTGCAGCCACCATGCTGACCCGCGAGGACGCACGCCGCCTGGAGGAGGAACGTCGAGCCCTGGCTGAGATCAGAGAAGCGCTCCTCCGTGCCAAAGAGGCTGGAGAGCGGCCAGATGTGGAGGATGCCAGCGAGGAGGCGAAATCTGCTCAGGCTCGATACACAGACTTCAAGGAGGCTCAGGTGAAGGAACTGAACCAGCTGGAGGAGGGACTCCGGCAGCAGAGGGAGCGCCTAGAGAAAGAGGTCGCTGCTGAGCGCAGCACGCTGCTGCTCCTCGCCCACGGCCTCAAAGAACGACAACAGCAGCTGAAAGAGGAGCAGGCGAAGGGGGCGCAGGACGCTACAGCTGTCTGCCAGGAGGAGCAGCTGGTCAAACAGGCGGAGCACAGATTGCAGTTCAAGGAGCGACAGCTGGCCAGCGTGACCGATGGCCTCCTCCCCGCACTGGCCGAGGAGAAGCAGAGAGCCGCGGAGATGCTGGAGCGCAGCGGCGGAGGAAGCAACGGGAACTGCGACAGCCCGCCGGGGCTCGACAACACGCTGTACCAGGTGGAGAAGGAGCTGGAGGACAAAGAGGAGAAATTGAACCTCCACTGGCACAGCGCTCATCAGCTCCAGCAGCTCCAGGAGACCTTCGAGTTCACGGCTAACGTGGCGCGCCAGGAGGAGAAGGTGAGGAGGAAGGAGAAGGAGATCCTGGAGTCGAAGGAGAAGCAGCAGAGGGAGGCGATGGAGCAGGCGGTGGCCCGGCTGGAGAGGAGGCACTCGGCCCTGAGGCGCAGTGTCTCCCTGGAGCCGGACACCGAGGAACAGAGACACAACAGCTCAGTCACCAGGAACCCGAGGACGGGGACCGACCTGGACCAGCAGAGGTCAGAACCTTATAATGAAACATACAGACAGACACTATATACTGTAACTGTAATGTGTCTGAGAAAGATAATAATAATAATAATAATAATAATAATAATGAGTCTGCTTCCTCTTCAGAGTGGAGCGGGAGATCCAGAAGCTGAGACAGAGGATCAGTGAAGGGGAAGAAAACAACAGGACTCACTCCAGTAACGATGAGAAGTCAAGTCACAACAGCTCCCCGGTCAGCCACATCCAGAGTCTGAACACACTGCTGCCGCTGTCAGACGACAGGTACGAGCCACGAGACCAACCGGTCTCTATTCACCTGTTTATGTTGTTGTTGTTGTTGTTGTTGTTGTTGTTGTTGTTGTTGTTGTTGTTGTTAACGTTGGTGCTCGCTGTTTACCAGGATAAACGCGTACATTGAAGAGGAAGTCCAGCGAAGGTTACGTAAGATGAATCTTCTCAATGGCAGCAGCAGCAACATGGATCTGTCTCTGTCCAGTGAATCTCTCAAGGTGAGAACTGAACTTCATTAAGCTCTAACTGTGTTTAAAGGACCAATGTGTAGGATTTAGTGCCACCTAGTGGTGAAGTTGTAGATTGCAACCAACTGAACACTCTTTGCCTGCCAAGTATGTAGAGAAACTACTAATTCACAAAAAACATTAAAGGCCCGATGTGGAGTCAGTGTTTGGTTTGTTGTTGTTGTTGACCCGCTGCCTCTGTAGATAGCAACATTCTCAGGCAACAAAAACACAACGATTATTATTCACAGGTGATAAACATAACACTCTGAATAACTGTTGTCTAAATTTCCATTAGGTGAGTTCAACAGTTGATCATCAACAATATATCAACAGTTAATCTCTTGGCGTCCTTTTACAATTATAAAATCTGAAATAAAGGTAAACATTGTGGTGGGTTTAAACAAAGAAATGTCTGGTTCTCTCTTCAGTTGAGGTAAATAAATGATCTGGCTGTTATTGGATTTGCTGCATCTCATTGCCCCTCTGACCAGTTCTGACCAACTGGTTGGTTTTTATAGTCTAAACACGAATTAACTGGGGTTTTATTGCCACTCTAAAATTAAGATACAGAGTGAATGAAGAGTCTAGCAGACTTTCCCTGTGTAGAACTGATATTCAGCTCTTTAACCCTGCAGGAGGAGGAGGAAGTTAGCGACTGTAGCTCTGTTAGATTAACAGATGAGGTAAGACCAGGATGCATCTGCTCTGTATGTCCCAATGAGACTTTCCCTGCTCTGTAATCTGCATGATTCTCCCAAATACAAGTTATGGATGGACTCAGTTGCACTTCTGTCAATCAGTTTGGTTTCCAGCTCTTTGATAATTTGGTTCTTCTCCACCCTGGTTTTATTTATCCTGGTTTTGTTTAATTTGTCCCTTTTTTCCCTTTTTCATGAAGTATGATTTAATAATTTATATAATTTGTTTGGATTACTAATAAAAAAATACTGCTTGTTATTTTACAAAGTAAGAATATTCTGTGTATTTCATATTTAATGATACTGAGATCACCTGTTGATGTTTTATTGTTTTCAGGATGATGACAAGCTGCAAAACATTAATCCAAGGAGGCTTAAATATGAGGTAAGACCAAGATCTTATTTTGGGATTATTACAATTTAATTATCAATCATTAAAAATCTGTAATCCTGCTACATTTTTACCATTCTGTATGTTCCTGTTATTGTTGCATGAAAATGAGCAAAATCTTCTGATTTAAAGAAAGCGGTGAATGAGTTTCCATTTTAAATCTTCAGGGTTGCCAATCAGGAATTCACAGACACCTTTAGGTTTTAAATTCCAATCACTAATATTAGTCACTTTAGTTTGACTTCTGTTTGTGGTCTTCTTCGTTTTGGCAAGAAGACAAAGGTTGAATGACATATTTTGTGACTCGTGTCGGGGTGAAAAATTTGGCAACACCACGCTTTGGTATATCTTTTGGAAGAACTGAGGAAAGGAAGCTCATTCTCTTCAGGGTGGTACCGATGCACGGAAAGCAGACAACAGAACAGCTTGAAACTATCAAAAATATAATATTTTAGCTCACAGTCCTTCATATTAAACACTGTGGGATTAAACATGGGTAAAATATTATAATAATTTAGCCACAGAGAAAGGTTAGGGTAGTTTTAGAAGAATTATTTGCACATGCTACTTTGCCCACGTTAGATTGGAATGGAAGTTTTTTCTTTTTTTGGTTGTCATCCTAATTTGCATGCCAAACCTCCTCACACTGTTAATTTTGAATCATTAACAACTCACCTGTGCACCTGGTGATGGAGGAACTGTAATTCTCTTTGGGTTGGATTAAGGACTTCAGTATAATTCAAAAGAACCTTCCCGTCCTTCTTGACGATGTAGTCATGGACTCCCCCCTTGTGCACACAGAGAGCCTCCCAGTTTTGGTCTAACTTCCTGCCTGCCCCGGACTACGAGGCAAACTCTCGTCCTCACATCCAAGAAAACATGTTGGAAGAACCAGAGAATGGCCTCTTGCAGCCTCACAGAGAAGAAAAACTAGAATCCACAGCTGGAGTCTTGATTGAAAAAGAGGAAGTGCCTAATAAAGATGGTGACAAAAACAAATGGTGGCAAGAAGGAGTGAATTTTCCTCTAGGAGAAGTGAGCCAAGCTGCTTGTGGACTTGATCGATGTTATATTGGACAACACGAGTCTTGTGCCACCTCTGCAAAAACCACGACCAACAGATTTGATGAAAACGAGAATATTACCGATAAGACGAGAAGCGATTCTGCCTCTTGTGTTCCTTGTGATGGTGGTGATGATGATGATAAAAAGGTTGAAGATAAAGCAAAGGAACTGCTGGTACATGGAAGCTCTTATTCTTACTCAAAGGAAGTAAAACACCAGACAGCAGCAATGATAGTAGAAGATGAAGAACCTTCCAGTGATCAGTCATCAACGTTGTTGGACTCTGTCAATGGCTTCAATTCAAAGCAAGTGTCGAAGGAATCCGTTAATGCTCAAATAAAACAGAAGAGAGACACAGATGCTGAGAAGGTGGCAGCCAACAGGAGCTATTATTTGGGGTATTTTGCTGGAAAGCTGTCTGAAGCGTACAAAGACGCTGGTAGAAGGCTGCAGGGCACACGGGACATCATTCGAAATGTACGAGTAGATGAAATGAAGGTTGTACTGACTCAGTATGTGACCATGATGTCCAAAGAGCTGCCGCTGGTTCATCGAATGCAGCTTAAACCGGAGCCTGAACCTCACGTCCTTGCAGAAAACAAAGTCAGTAAAGTTGATCTGTCGAGGGATTGCACCCTTAGTCTTTCTCCGAACTGCACAATGACTGCGATCCCGGAGATTTCTCGATGGCCCAAAGGCTCTGTGTCGTCTCTCAGAAACACAAGTCCTGAAGTGTTTAATCAGAAGCTGGTCGAGCTGCCACCAGCCTTGTCTCAGCTACACTCACTTTCATCCCAGATGATCCTTGAAAAGTTGGAATCTCTGGCTCCTCAAATTAAAGTCAACAAGCTTTTGAGTATCTTCTGGCTCAAAACTGCCAACCGTAGGCAGCCGATCCCAAAGCCTGGGTGCTTGCTTCTGTCAGAAAAGGACGTAATAGTTCTGTCGAGTGAAACGAATTCAATCGACAACTTAAATCTTTTTCACCATTTTAGTCTCATGGAACTCAAGAAGGTCCAGATTGGTTTGGCAGGGCAGCACCTCCGGCTAATGGGCTGCACCGAAGACACCGTCTTGGCAGTCTTTACCCACAGCAAAGAGCTTACCCAGGAGTTCTGCAAGGCTTTACTGAAGGTCCTTTCTCCTGAAAAGTTCTCTGAAGGGACTGAAGATCACCCGTTGCTCTCTGATGATCTCATGGTCCTCTCTCTGGATTGGATGTCGACTGTTCCTGACATCGTCCTGGACAACGGCCCCCACGTCACCTCCAGATTTAAGCGGGTCCTTGCAGACTTGCTCTACATCGTCCACGGGAACATGGACGGTCCTGGCAAACCCTCTCTGGCAAACATTTGTCCTCTGCTCTACACCAGCGTCAAGGTCATGAACTCTACCCATGTGCACCAGAGCGCCATTTTTCAGTTCCTCCTTACGGACACTCATGTAGTTCTTCTCCGTGAGGATGGCATCTTTCACCCAGTGCCACGGGGCTCCAGTCTGGTCCCTGCCGAGCCCCAGTTCCAGGGGCTCGAACTCCGCAAGCGGTCAGAAATCAGATGCCTGCTTGTGAAGCAGCATGACAACGGGCTGGTGGTAGACATCACGTTTACAACTCACAAACCGCAAACTCGTGAAAAGTCCAGGCGAGGCTCAGCTGAAGTGCCGGCGGTGTCTCATCACAGTCGTCAGTGCGACTCCTGGAAGTTGTCTTTCGGTTGTACCTCAGAAGCTATGATCTTGATTAATCATCTGTGTGCCTGAGTTATTTACCTGGATCAGAAAGAAGAAATAATCACAATGTTTAATTTAATTTAAGGATGTGTTAGATAGGCTTTTGCCACTTGACAGAAAAAAATAGCTAATAGATATTTTCTGAAAAGGTGATTCAAACTGGACACATTTGAAAGTATTTTAAAAATATTTTTTAAAATTTTATATTTGTTATTCAAATGTAATTATGTGATTTTGCCATTAAGTCCTAAAGATTGTATTTTGAAATGAGGAAGCCCAGACCATGCTGACATTAACTGTATATATATATTATCATAATGAATGAGGATAATCAGTTTCTATGTATTTATGAAAGTTTTTTGTTTTGGTCAGTTTACTGTTTTTATTTGTGTTGATTCCTGTTTATTCTTGTTTGATTTCTAATCTTGTTCAAAGGGACAATCACTTAATTTACCTTTTCTAATGTTAGTAAAACGCTAATCTACATCAATCATTAGCTAGCTAGTTAGTTACAGAGCTAGCATTTGCTAACACTAGCTAAATTAAGATGTGACTATAGGTGTTGCTTTTATCTTTTAACCATCTTCAAAATGTGATTGTCTTTTCAACATAGATTAGCTTAGCATATAGCATATCTAAGTACCGGGACGGAGGAAGTTGACCGAACTTCCAAAAGGGAAAGTTTGAAGAAAAATTTGCAGCTGCACTTTAAGAGAAATGATTGTGATCTGATGACTTGAAGAACATAGTACGATTTGTAATAATGTGAAATGATTACAGAATAAATATGATGTGTTTGAAGTAATAATGTTTAATGTTTATAATTATATAAAGTGAGAACAGGATAATAAAGATTGAACTTTGTATAAATCTTATTGTCTGATATTATTTGTCAATCGTAGTAAATCATTCTCAATCTACTTCAGAAATCGATTCTCAGTTGTTGTAAATTCTTTCTGAGTCAACCCTTTACTCTCCACCTCTTTCTTCTTCTCTTTTTCCTGTTTCTCTTGTTTCTCCCGGTGACTTCTTCTGCAGCACCTGGTCTCTCGTTCTCTCGGGACGAGCGCCGACGGCCTTCAGGAGCCCGTTAAAATTAGCATTCCTCGTTACGTTCTCCGCGGGCAGGGGAAGGACGAACACTTTGAGTTCGAGGTGAAGGTGAGTTCAGGCAACAGTTACTTACATTCAGACATGTGTGTGGTCTCTCATCATGCATCTCTCTGGATGCTTATTTCTTCTATATATTTCTGAATGTAACCCCATAAAATGTGTCTGGATGTGTAAGATGATCCTATATTGATCTCTCAGTGGTGAAATCAGGGTTTTGCAGCAGCACAAGGACACATAAAGTAAAGGAAATGATAAATAATTAAGTGTATAAAAACTTTACAAGAACACTACACAAAATGTAGATTATAACTATTTTATTTCAGCTATTGAATATAATAAAAAATCTGGATTGAAAGTTGGATTTTATGCTTGTAAACTGACAGTGGATGGAAGTACTCAGATGTAGAAATACTCATTTCAAAATAATATATCACTGAATTATAATCAGTGACACATAAATTCTTGTAGCATTTTAATGTTGCAGCTACTGAAAGTGGAGCTAATTTGGACTTCTTTATGTACTGCAAGGTAGTTAAATATGTAATAACGCATCAAATGTCTCTGCACCAGTGGCATCCTTGGCCAGAGGCATTATGTTTTCGGGTTGTCAGTCTGTCTCATTCTTGTGAACAATATCTCGAGGGGATTTTATGACCATACTTCAAAAGTAGTTGGACAATGAATTTTGGCTCAAATGTCAAAGTCACTGTCACCTCAGAATGTTTGTTTTAAGTGAACCACAGGAACCAGATTTCTTCAGATTGTCTGCTTCATGTTCTACTGTCAGAAAACATTTCCACAATAATAATGACAAGAATATTTTTATAAGTTACCGACTGCAGCTTTAATAATCTGAATCTGCAAACAAACAAGCGTTTTAATTAAAATAGTTTGAGATCTTTTTGTAGACTATTAGAGAGTATCTGGGTCCGTTTTCATCTGTCTTTACATCAAACGTTTCTTTCTCCAGATCACTGTGATGGACGAGATGTGGACGGTGTTCAGGCGTTACAGTCGCTTCCGGGAAATGCACAAGAGCCTCAAATTAAAATATCCAGAGGTGAGACTGTTTGATTCACTACAGCTACTCACAGGGGGACCACGTTGTCCGAGTCCTTCTCCGGGACGAGTCTTCGCTGTGGGTTTTCTATAATGTCACTGACATCTCTGTTTCAGCTGGCAGCTCTCGAGTTCCCTCCAAAGAAACTGTTCGGAAACAGAGACGAGCGGATGGTCGCTGAGCGTCGGAATCACCTGGAGGCAAGACACTTTAATCCAGTTTTATTCACACATTCAAGCACAAAAGAGGGTGTGAAACATAAACGTGACTCTGTGATGTGTTTGCTTTGCAGCGTTATCTGAGGAACTTGTTCCGGGTGATGCTGTCGTCCTCCAGCTCTCCCCTCAGAGCCGACGCGGACGGCGGTTTCCATCTCACCAAGCATGCCATCGGCGAGTTCTCGCCGTTCTTCAAGAAGGGCGTCTTCGAGTACAGCAGCCACGGCACCGGCTGACTCGCCCGCCAAGCGCCTGAACGAACAACAAACAGAAACTGCTCGGTGCCTTTTCTCCGGGCCTCGGCTCGAGAGAACTGCCTCAGAAGGTCAAAGAAGGAAAAACTTGCAGGTCAGTTTCCTGTCCAACACGAAGATCTCAATCAGTTTCAGCTCCACGTGGAAACTTTATCATGAATGTTAAGGTAGGAAGTATTCTCTCTCTCTCACTCTGTTTAAAGAGTTTTATTTCCACATTGTGTATCCAGAGAAACCAGGTTTTCAGCCTCTATAACGACTTTGTACGGTCTTTGTTCTGTTTTTTGAGTCGATGATGGAAACAAACGCACTCGGGCAATAAACAGCTAAATATTAAATATATTCACATGCAGCTATGATATTTATGTCACGTAGTCTTTAAAAGTAGAACACAACATTAACGTGGGCAGCTCAGTGGAGATTTTAAATCCATCAGCAACAAATAATAAAGAAAAATTAATTCAGCTTCTAAAATGTGATTTGCTGCTTTTCTGTTTAATAAAAATGTCTTTGGAAAAATTGAGGCATTTGAAGATGGGCACTTGGGGCATTTTACACTAATTTCTCACTTTTTTTAAACACTAAATCAGTTTACAAAAGAAAAGAATCGTTAATGGCATTGATCAATGACAGCTGCCGTAGTTCAATCACACCTGGATCTCCTGTCAGTGAGCGGCGGGAGGCTTTACCACTGGCAGGAGAGCGAGGATTCGAACAGGTCTCAGTGATCACTCTTTGGAACTGTAAATGGTCTGAGAACAGGAAGCCTGTATACGTCGTGGTAGAGTTAACATTAATACAGTGGAGCTGTAATAGGACTGTCGTGGTCTCGCTGTGGCTCCAGCACTGTTTGAGTTAGACTGCGGAAGTAAAACACAAAAATTCAACCATCATGTTTATTTCTGCTGTAAAGTTGGGCATTTTAATATGGGGCCTTATGGGGACTGACTCACTGCTGGAGCCTCTAGTGGCCGTTAGAGGAACTGCAGGCATGCTCAACTGTAGAAAGGGTCAATTCTGAACATATTTGTGCCATTTGAAAAGTTTTCGCTGAAGTAGTGTGTGTAAAGGTTCAGTTTCTCTTTATCCCCAAGAGCGGAGTAATCCCAAAGATTGTTTTAGTGCCACCAAACTCCAAACGTTCACCTTGATATTCGTCTTATTCCCTAAATGTAGTTTTATCCTCCCTCCTGATGAGACCTCATCACGGTGCATTTATTAGACTGCAGTGTTTAAAAAGACTGAACGCCTCTCTGTTTGCTCTCTGTGCTCTAATTTTATTGCTTTTAAACACCAGACTGATCATTAAAGTTAAATTAGATCCATGACTCCACAAACCAGTAAAATAAATGTACAGAGCACAGAGACACAGCCTCAGCACACACTCAAGAGTTCCCAGATTAAAGGTAGAACAAGACAAATAGTTCCCTCAGAGGGAGTAACTCTGTCCCTCCAGCAGCTCAGCACTTTGTACTTCAGAGCTGGTTTTAGTTTTATTATCAATGTGTCACAGTGAGTGAATCCGATTGGATCCTGAAGTCTTCCACAGCCTCACTGTCTGAATATGAACACCTGAACCACTGACTGCTTTCTTCCATAAGCCATACTGTGTGTATATAGAATGTAAATGTTCATAGTTTTTCTATACGATTATGCTTGTATGCAATGTAAACTATTGACATTGAATGTCAGTAAAGGGAATGTACCACAACGTTCACACTGTGTCCACTGTGTCTTCTTCCAGCTCAACAACAACTGTTGAAATCAGGATATCAGTGTAGCTTCCCACGAGTTTCACCAACCGTAGCACAGAAAGTTGAGCCATGATTTTATTCCCACTGGAGGAAGTCTCAAACCAAAAGTATTGTGATAAAAACATTTATTGCTGTTTAACAACATGATGTTGATCTTTGTGATTTAGAGTTTACCTGGTAAACATCACCAGCAGCTTCAGGATATCGTACATTTATATTTGTGTAGAAACATCTGCAGTAAACAGCTATGAACTGCTTATTCATGATTCATGCAACATCTTCAGGAAATGATGAAATGAGAGAGAGGTAGAGAAGGTTTCAGAGTGTCCAGGTAGAGCAGGTGAGTGGAAACCTGACCCCCCCCCCGGAGGAGTTCAGTGTTTGGAGGCTGGTCCCGGAGAGTTCGGTACCTGAGTCTTTCCACCCAGGATCTGCTCTGAGGGCCTGAAGGGGAAGTCGTACAGAGGGACACTGAGATCCTCCAGCTTCTCCCTGCAGGTCTGCAGCAGGTCGTCGTACTCCTGCAGGTCACACGTTTGTTACGTCACCACGTTATCGGACAGATTTCTCTCAGAACGACGACATTAATGTGCGATAACACTGCAGAGCTAACGGCAACTGACCTGACGCTCCCGGGCCAGCTCGCACTGGAAGGCACTGATGGCGGCGCGTTTAGACTCCAGGATTTCCTACAAGCGGGAAAAAACATGTTCAGATGTTTGTTCTTGAAACACACATATTACAAAATCACAAAATTACCATAAACAAGTGTTACTAGCGCCCCCTGCAGGCTGTATTGTCCACTACACCTGCTGATAGAAAGAACATACAACAAGGTACTGATGATCAGAGCTGTACAGTAACGCATTAGTAGTATTAATGTTACTTTGTCAGATAACTAATAACTAACCCAGTAATAATATGTTACCTACCCAAAAAATAATTAGTTACAACGTCATTTTTCTTGTCACCCCGCCACTGATTTGTAATCTGACAATGTTAATGTTTGTAATTGTGCACAGGCGGGAAGCAGGACAAATAAATCTCGAGGTGTTTCTGGTTTATTTTACAGATTTCTTCTGTATTTTATTAAATACTTGGAAATAAACCTGTGATATTGTTTATATAGACTGTAAATAATAATGGACCAAACACAGAACCTTGTGGTACTCCTTTTGGTTATAAAAATGGAGTTTTGAGACTACAGGTAAAGATCGATGAGGCAAAGACAAACATTTTACAACATGTAAATCGTACCTCGAGTTTGTTGGCGGCGGCGTTGCTGACTGCAGTTTGGTCGACGTTGGAGACCGAGAGCGCGGTGCAGAGCTGAGCCTCCTTCTTCTCCAGAGTTTCTGTCAGCGCTGCCAACTTCCTCTCCAGCAACAACTCCTTCAGTCCGCTCTTCTGCTGGATGTCCAGAATGGCCTCCGTCTGCTTCTTCAACAGCTCGTCACGCTCCTGCTGAACC